ATCAGCCACACACAGGAACGAGAACTGTTTCATGGTGCAAGGTCCATCCTGACTCCGGGAGCCTTTCCCTATGATTACAGGACACTACATGCTCTAGCTTTACTGGCAACATTTTCTTACGTGTAAATGAAGTCTCGTTTTTTTTTTTTTAATTACTGGAAAAAATACCAATGGAAATGAAGTTCCACTGATTACTTTGGCTTTCAGATTCGCTACCAGGACACAGCAGGCTAATTGGGGCTCCAGCAGTGCTGGGGCCAGTTCCCAAGAGACACCAACTAGCAGCTGCAATCAAGTCATTTTCTATTTCCATCCTTAAACCCAATTAGAAATTCCACAAACGGGAACTCGTTCCCTTGCCAACCTCAAAAGCAACTGAGAAACTCCCCACAATTGCAGGCCCAAAGGCAATTAAGAGGTTCATGCAGAGGGCTTATACTATGAATATCAGTGGACTTCAGAAGGCTTAGAAACATGCAGAGATAAGGGCTGCATTGCAGGCCGTAATTTCACAGCACTGTGTCCTACTGGAAGATCTTTGACGTGTGCATCCAAGACAAAAATGTGGTTCCTAGGAGGATCTAAGTATTCATGGGGATCCAAGCTCCTTGCTGAGGCAGATGGTGTCCCAGGGTTTGGCCTCATCTCTTCTTTCAGTCCCTCCTCCATGTGTTCTGTTCCATGTACATTCCAGTGATAGGGACTCCTGAGCATGCCTATGCCACACTTCCTGTCAGAGCACACACTGTTGTCTCCCTTGCTTTCCTAGTGAACTCTTATTCATCCTATAAAGCCCAATTTTAAAGATTCTAGGGACTTTTTCCTCTGCTGAAAATTCATCAGTGAGATTTCTTCCTTTAGAGAAAAAGCCCACATCTTCTCCATGGCTCAAAAGACTGCACAGTCAGGTTCCTGCCTGCATCTCAAGCTCCCTCTTCCAATACTTTTCTTCTGACTTTCTATTCTCTAGCTTCACTGACCTTCTTTCTTGTGGAGGATGTTAACATTAATAAAGTGGAATAAAGCAAATATATTTCACAGGGCCTAACACATAGAAATATTAAGCTTGGGAAAGACAGGAAACTTTCCCTGGGCTAAAGTCCCTGTTGTAGATAAAGAATTGTAACACAGCAAAAATGCTTGCTATTAGGGCAGATGTCCTTGGTGCAGCTAAACCTTATGATGGGAAAGTGCAATGATTATCTCATTGTTCTTTCTGTAACCAGCTATGTTCTTTTTCTGTAACTTTCTTGCCTGGAGAATAAAAATGGAGAGAAAACCTGATTTGGGGCTATTCCTGGGATCTTTCTTCTCTTGAAAGAATTATTCCTGGGGGTAACCATTTCGGATCTCTCACTGCTCTAGAGAAATGGGCTTTGAGTAATCCTTTGCATCTCCATCACCCTGGGGGAGAGGTGACACTTTCTGACCATCAATGGACCTGGGACAGCAGGGTCTGTGTATGAGGGTTAATCCTGGGGAAGGGGAGAAAAGTCAGTGCATACAAGGGGCCATGGGAAAGCTTGGGCTGCAGAAGCCAGAGTGTGCTGAGGTCTTGCAGATTGTTTGCAGGGTTGGGTTTGGGTGAAAGGAACAGAGAAGGGGGTTGAAGACGGGACCAGCAGAAGTTTTAAAGTTTTTCTTTTTTTTTCCTTTTTTTGTCTTTTTTTTTCATGACTGGCAACGGGATCGCAACCCTCGGTATTGCTCCCGCACTTCGCTCAGCCAGTGAGCGGCCGGTCTGTATGTGGGATCCAAACCCTCGGCGGGAGCGCCGCCATGCTCTCAAGCGGCGCACTGTAGCAGTGCGCCACCAGGCCGGCCCCATGAAGTTTTAAAGTTTATACATTCATTCAAGCAAAACATGCCAAGCATAGTCCATGTGCCCAACACTTAATCCTTACAATAACCCTGTGAGGTAGGCATTGTTTTGTTTTGTAGAAAAGAAAACAGAAGCTCAGGGAAGTTAAGTATCCTGCCAGGTCCACACAGCTAGGAATAGCAGGGCTGGGATTTGATTCAAACTCAAATTTTTCTAACTCCAAAGCCTAAACTCTTTTTTTTATTGTTCCCTGGAGTGTCACTTAAAAGAGTATAGTGCAAGAGATTTGCAAGGGGAATGCAGAGTCCCCGTGTTTTTTTACTAGGAGGTTGTCAGATGTCTCAAAAGATAAAGGGTTTGTAGTTTATAGTATTTGTATCAATGCACATCAGCTCCTGCCTTTCTCCAGACACATAATTACATTATCAAAATAATTGTCTGACAATAGTGGGCAGTGAGCCACAGTGAAAGAGCACAAGCACTGGAGGCTGGGACTGGGCGGGTTTGTCTGGGTGACTTTGGTAAGTGACTTCACCTCTCAGAACCTCAGTTTCCTTATCTACAAATTCTGACCAATAACACTTTCTCACAAGACTGTAAACAGCTCATGTATGTAAAGGGGCACCTTGCAACACTGGCTCTTAAAGTTTCCACCAGGAAATGACATGACATTTCCACTCACATTTAATTGGTCAGTGCAGTCACCCGACCACACCTAATCCAGGGAAGAGCAGTTCTAGCAAACATTCTGAAAAGAGGGCCAGAAAAACTTGCTGAATACTCTAGTAGTCATTTTTTCTATGACATTCTTTTAAAATAAATGTATACTTTGGTTTAATGTTTGAAATCATTTTTGTGAAATGGCTTTTAAATAAATTATAATCAGATATACTATTAGAATTGCTATTTATGGAGATGCAATGCCCTCTTCAGATGTGGCCTAGGAGGATACTGGGGAAGGAAACATCTTCTAGAGAATGAAGTTAAGGGCCAAAAGAATATTCCCCACTTTAGAGCAGGAGCCCTTACAATATCTGTCTAAAGGGATTTCAGAATTGCTGTGGGCCAAAGACTGCTGTATTTCTCTAATTCTTCCTCTTTCTTAATGGAAGTGTCTTTTGATTATTCTGCCTCATTCTGGTCTTGAATAGTGTTGTGTGTTTGTGGGTGCACATGCATATGTGTGTGTGCTGGGATGGAGGACATGGTGGTTGTAGTGGTGGCAAGTAATTTGTCCTATTAGTATATAGTTCTCTAGATCAAGTGGAGCCACATCTTGGCCTGTTATAGAGCCTCCTGTGCATGTCACCCTGATGAAGACATCACCAAGAATCACTCAGAGAGCTTTGGCATTGAGCTTAAAGCCAGCAACAGATGGAACTTTTAGGTGGTCCCATCTAGGGAAGGGTGGGTGTATTTTTCATGTGAGAGAGTCCAACAAATATATGTTGATCAGGTGGACAGACTGTGGTGTTCATCAGTGTTGTTCATAAAATATTTTCAATTTTTCTTCTGGATACATCATATATTTCACTTCTCTGCTTTGCTGGAGTTAGGTGTGGCCATATGACTTGATTTGGCCAAGAAAATGTGAATAGAAATGATTGGCATAACTTGTAGGTAGAAGCTTTAAGAGCTTGTGCACAATTTGCCATGCTTCCCCCCCATCTTTCTAGGTACCCAGCAATGTGGCTGCTTTGTCTGTTTGGGTCCTGGACTAAGGATAAAGCAGAGAAGAGCCCCTATTGATTTGCAGTGAATATGAAGTTAGAATTATTTTAGCAACTGAGAGCTGAGGCTTGCTTGTCATTGGAGCACAACTTATCCTGTTCTAACTGATTCAAATAGATAATCTTAATTCCTTATAAAATCACTTTTATTTGGCGGGTCTGTTTTCCCACTCTGGGCAGTAAATATGTAACTCTGTAGCAGTTGTTATAGCTGGGCTTGCAGAGATGGGGGCAGGTTTCTGTTGCAGGCTGAGGTGACAGGGATCTGGGCTCTGAGGGCTTCTTGGGAAGATTCAAGGTAAGGTTCATGTGGGGACATAACTAGGGCCCTTTTTTCTTATGAGCATTCTCCAGGCTGTTTAATAATATCCATGGGCTGGCTGTGCTGTCCAGTTAGACTGAGGCACACCTGAGTGCCATCACTCTAGCACAGCTGTGTTCAGTGATTAATGATCCCTGTGCAACCTTTGAACCAGTGTCTTGCTATACTAATTAGTTTCATGGACTCTTGCCAGGTGATACAGTCTTCCTTTCCTGATATCCTGGGGAAGACTGCAATGGAAGAAACTGTTATCACCAAGTTCTGAGTGGGGGGAAAGGGGGGCTGGAGAAGGAAGTTGGGGATAACTGGGTGGGGGACACGGGTTACAAATGCAATTTGTGGTAATGGGTATGCTGCCAGTATGAATCTGGCCCTCACATCGTGGGCACAAGGGGTGACAATCAGCTTTGTATCTCATGAATATTCATAACCAATAAAAAAATAAAAATAGGTTTTTTTAAGACAAAAAAAAGTTTAATGAACTTTTTACTACCAAGTGACACACATCAGACATCCAATAGGTGGCCTCAGCTCAAAAACACCTTCTCTTCCCTTGCCTCATTCATGCCTTCTCTCCTACTGGGTTCTGCACCCTGAGAGCACTACATGAACTTATTCCCATCTTCTCATGTATGGAGCTGCCCAGAACCCATTTTTTGTCCAACCCAGAAGCGCCTGTGTCTCTCTTAGCTCACTCTTGAGCCAGCCGGTCCTCAGAAGGCAAATTCTTATGCTATAGCCCACCTCTCCCCATGGTGAATGGTCAAGTTCACACATTTTGGTAATTTTCACAGAATCCATCAACACAAGTTTGGGTCATATCTCAAAATACTACTATGCTTATTTGGGGAGCATTTTCCTTCCCCTCTCCTTTCTCGTTGCTTCAAAGAACCTCCCAGCCCTTAAGGGAACAGAAACAAAGATGCCAGCAGGTCTGAGTGAGAGACAGAAAAGTAACATTAATGCTTAGAGAGCTGGCTTTCCTGTGTCCAAAGAGGAGATTAGGCTGGGTTTCTGGATTTGAAGACAGGTGGCAGCAGAGGAAGTGATGAGGGGCGCAGGAGATTCGAGTGGGAAGGCAACTGTACATACGCGGGCCAGGGAGAAGGGTTCCACGCAGGCTCACCTTGCCAACAAGCGCCGACTGTAAGCTGCATGGCTATGTGCGATGGATGAATGGGCCAATCGTTGGTCACCAGGTATGGTTCATATGTTGCTCCATCCATGTATAAGGTAACCACAGGAAACTCCACATTGATGACATAGTAATGCCATTCTTTGTCACAAATCTAATGAAGAGCAAGAGAAGCAACACTTAAAATCGAGTATACAATGCAACGTCAAACAGGCTTTTATTCTAATTATGAAAGGGGGAGAAGATACTGTTGGGTCAACAGGTCTTCTTATGACGAGGAACATAATGGTTGATGCACATTGAGGTTATAGAAGCTTGTCGTCAAACATGATGGGGCAAACCATGGAGAAGAGGAGCACCTGAGGATCCAATCATCAGGCAGGTATCTGAGTCTGGGCAGATTGTTCAGCCCTACCTTGGTGTACCTGGAGAGGCAGAAAAGGACCATGAATGGGTCCTACCAGCCTGGACTCAATGCAGAGCACTCACACGCATGTCCTCTCACAACCTTTTGCACTCAAGACTCCTAGTCTCAGGGCTGGGAACTGAAACCTAACCACAATGGCTAGGTAGAGATGTTGGGGGGATAGGGTAGAGTCACAATTCTTGACCTTAAGGAACTGAACTCATACAGTGTGATCCAAAATAGAACCAAGACTGGCACGTCTTTGCAAAGGAGAAAAGAAGCATAAAAGGTGGCAAGACTCAAGAATGGGGCGACCCTCCCTCCGGTGTCCTGATCGAGTCCCTTCGGAGTCATGTTGGACTCTCTCCTTCACACTCCTGCTCCCTCTAATCCCTCTGCACTTGTGGAGTCCACCTCTGAAATGTCTCTTCTCTGCATCCTCCTGTCTCCATCATGCCTGCCACCTATGTCAGGGGAGATAGATGAGCTCTGCATAAAGGTGACCCCAAGGTGAGGCCATCAGAGCCTCCCTACATCCCCCTCTGGATGAAAATGTGCTGTCTCTCATGAACAGATAACACCAACAGGGATGCTAAATGATCATTTTTCTTTCATTTTGGAATAAGAATTTTTTCCTTAATGTTCTTTTTATATTGTCCTATCTCATGTCTCAGAAAATTGCTCCTTTTGAAGTCCATTAGTCTGATAAAGCCTGATGAATATTTTAGGGGACTTTGGAAGGTAAGAAGGAGGGGTCCAGGCAAATGGCTCCAAAGTCCTGTTACACTCAGTGGGGGGTCGTGACCCAGCTTGCATTACTCTCCTGCTCCATGCCCTGGACCCCACCCTGGGCTGGGCCTGTGACTGGGGTGGTCTGACCTCAGGGCATAGGGTGGTGCAAAGAAAGACCTGAAGACAGAGTCTAGGGCTGACGAGAGTGGGGAAGTAAGGAGAGTGTTTGTAAGAAGTACCCAATCCAAGGAGGCCAATGTACCCTGGACTTGGGATTTGCAGTCAAGGGTAGCGAAGCAGCAGAGGCAACCCAGAATATGGTTCCCATCCTGGGGATGTTCCCAGTGGCATCTGGAAACCTCTGGTCAGGTCTAGAGTGGCGGCGAGGGGAAGAGTGTCAGTGCAGTGATCCTGACCACACCCCGTCCCATCCTGGGGATGTTCCCAGTGGCATCTGGAAACCTCTGGTCAGGTCTAGAGTGGCGGCAAGGGGAAGAGTGTCAGTGCAGTGATCCTGACCACACCCCGTGGCTGCGGAATGTAGGGAGGGTCCCAAGAGCCAACAGGCAGCACTCAGGGGTGCCCCATCCTGCCTGCATCACCACGCTCATGGCGGCCATCCTCCTGGTGTGACCGGCACGTGGAACCCATGAGCCTCAGCTGCACAGCACTCTACATCTGCTGAAGCTGGATGGGGAGTGATCCTCCGGCTTTCTTTCTTTCACAACACTTAGGATTTTTGTAGGAAAATACAAAAAATTCCAGGGAAGAAGTGCAATAACTTCATAACTCAGCAGCAGCATAACCCCTCTCGATATTATGTTTTTGCCAGGCATTTTTCCTCCAGCTCTTCTGAAACCTGCTGCATTGAACAGCAGCCCTCATAATGTGCCCCATAAAAAGAGTGACCCCGTGCACAGAGCTTCAGTTTTTGGGGATTCCCCACTCACATCGGTGTATCTAAGCCTCCCAGCACCTCAAAGTATGTGCCTGTAACAGCTTTTCAACCTTGCTGGAAAATGGGACTTTTCTATTTATTGTGTCCCCATAGACAGTGGCAGATGGGAAAGTGATAGCTGGATCACACCATATAACAATTTGAAAATTTTCATGTTTTCCTTAACACGAGCATTAAAATGCCTCCATAAAGTTCATTTTAAATGGCTGTACAATGTGAATATGCTATAACGTACTTAAATATTCCATTATTAGGTATTAATTATGCACCATTATAAATGATGTTGTGATGAATTACTTGTGCATAAATATTTGTTTCCATTTCTGATTATATCCTTAAGAATGATTCCTGGAAATTGAGTTATGGGTCAAAGGTTGGAGGTATTTTTAGGGCTCTTGATACATATTGCCAATTTTTTTTTTTTTTTCGGCAAAAGGTTGTGCCTGTTTATACTCCTGCCTACAGAGTGTGGGTGGGCCTATGCATTATACCTGTGCCACACTGAGTACTAAAAAAATTTAAAGGGGATACATTTTATCTCATTTTAATATGGGTCACAAAAAATGGCAAGATGTACATGCTCCAAGATCAAAGGAAGGGCATTCTGGGTGTGGGGAACAGCCTGTGCCAAGACTCAGAGGTAGGAACGATCGGGAGCTGCCCTGGTGAGCTCCACTGGGCATCCCAACAGTCTTTAGTTCATCCCAGGCTTATGCCTGCAGCTAAAGGAAATAATTAGGGCTTCACAAATGTGGCTCTATGATCAGGAAGAGACCAGCACTGACCCTCTGCTAGAACTGCAGGGACAATCTATAATTGAAAAATGATCAAGCCAGGAGGCAGCAAAAAGAAACGTGTCAATGCACAGTTCAGCCAAGAGAGAAGGAAATTAGGCATAATAACCTTTCCTGGGGGGAGAGAAGAGCTTTAATTTCTGACTGTTCATGAATCTCTGTGAACCCAGCTGGCACCAAGCATGTCCCCTGAGTTGACTCCCAAGGCTTCACCTAGGCCGAAGATACTTCACTCTCTGAATACCTGCAGGTGTGTTCCCAAGGTGCGCAGGTGTAGCTTCTATTTAGTTGGTGAGTAAATCAGAGACCAGAGACCCAGGGACAAATGCTGAGGCAAGATAGCAGGGACAATGCCAAAGGAGGGCTGAGTTAGGAACAGACTGACATTCTAGGTTGAGTCGGGGCCCAGGGAAGCCTCCCATGAGATGAGGAGGAAAAGATCAGGTGAGATGCTCTCTGTGTAGCTGCTGACAGGTTGATCCCAATGTCATATAAAGGGCCAGATTGTAAGTTCTGACCTGGTTTTCTGAGTAAATCAGGTATTTCTGAAAATGCAGCTATTCAGCTGAGATACATTCACCTACCAACAACTGGGTGTCTGCTACTATGTCTAGTAGGGTCCACAAGAGATACAGAGCTTGTGAGATATGTCCTTCACCTTCAAGAGTTTCAATCTAATGGGGCGTGTGTATATTCAGTACATAAGACTCAAGTGTAATGGGAATCGAGACAAGTGTTGTAGACGAGTGGCAAAGCACTGTGAGATCCCAGAGAGTGAAGAGACTCTTTCTGGCTGGAGGAAGGTGGTATTTAGGGTGGATATTGAAGGACTGTTAAAATTTCATTAGCAATAGATGGTGATTAATAAATTCCCAGCAACTGGAGCAGAAATCCCTTCCCTTATTCTTTTATTCATTCATCCATCTGTCTTTTCTATTTCAAAGGTACCAAATTTGGGGCATACGGTGATTTACTCATTCACTCGTTCACTCACTCCTGCAGACATTTGCTAAATGCATATCCTACTTTGTGAACAAAAGAAAGCACCTGCCATTATGGAGTTGCTGGTCCAGTCATGGGATTGATTGGGATTCCAGCCCAGCACAGATTTGTGCATGGTACGAGGTTAACCCTGCAGGGGAGGATGGGGATGTCTGAAACACTGGGAGAATGGGAAGGAGCAAAGACACAGAGCTTGTGGGGCAGGTCAGGCTGCGTTTGAGGAAGCTGAAGAGTGTGAGATGGGGCTGCAGGGGTAGAGTTGGGCTGACAGCTGAGGGCTTGCACTGCTTTGATTCTGTAGGCAGCCAGAGGGCTGCAGGTTTCTGGAGGGGATGGTGATCATAACGACAATCAATCTTGGAACATGCTTTTCCATTTCTCCTTGTATGATTTAATCCTCTCTGCAACCCTGTAAAGCAAGAGGACCCATTCTTCCCTAGGTGTCTTTAGAACATAAAGGGAAAGGAGTAATATTGGGAGTGAGAGGCAACAGCCGGCCCTGGGCCCATGCTTGCCTCCTGTCTTTGCACTGCGCAGTGGCTCAGCTCCACGTACTCACTGCCGAGTCAGGATCTTGAGCAGAGGACTTGCATGTCAGCTTGTCCCTGAATGGTCCCACTTGGATGTTCTATAGGCATTTCAAACTCATTGTGTCCAAAACTGAACTCCACACCCCCATGCTCCAGCCTAGCCTGCTCCCTCTCCTGTAATCCCTGACTTGGCAAATGCTCCCTGGTGTGAGCTGTCATCCAAGCCAGAACACCAGACCTTGCTTTTGACTTCCCCGACTCTTTCCCTCCTCCACTCACTTTACTGCCCAGTTCTGCTGATGCTCTGTCATGTCCATTTTCCCTCTTTCCCCTCATTCCTACTCAGCACTTACAATATATACTAGAGAGGGCAAAGAGGTGGATGGAGGGGTGACTGATTGAGAAAATGTGCTTCAACACAGGCTGTGTTGAAGGTGGGAAGGATTTGAGCAGGGGAGGGAACCGTTTGTAGTAGGGAATGTTGAGAGAGCTTCGGTGTAAGTGTGGGTCGAACAGAGTGAGCAGCATGCTAGTGACCGGCTGCCCTGGGGCTAGAGGCAGCCTTGAGAAAATGTGCTTCAACACAGGCTGTGTTGAAGGTGGGAAGGATTTGAGCAGGGGAGGGGACCGTTTGTAGTAGGGAATGTTGAGAGAGCTTCGGTGTAAGTGTGGGTCGAACAGAGTGAGCAGCATGCTAGTGAACGGCTGCCCTGGGGCTAGAGGCAGCCACAG